AAACCACCAGTTGCTACAGCGACCATTACTGCTCCGAATGTAATCATACTCCGGAGGACAGTGATGATTACAGAGTGGCGCTGTGCCAAACCATTTGCAACCGCCATCGGTCGGAAATGGGCGATAAGCAGTCAGATCCGATACTGCTTTCGCTGTCATACCTCAAAGTGCCTCATTTATAACTGAAACTTAAATAAGACAAACAAACACCGCAGAGGAACAGAACTGTTTATAATGATTTAAGTTTTTTCCTTGGTACTTTGAATCCACTACCAGACAGCACGGTACCACGACATGTGGGAAAACCAACGTCTCGGAACAAAGTGAAGGTGCTCAATACACACCACTAGATTTCCAAGTGGCTAAAGTCTTGCTAAAGTGCTTTCGTCCGCTCTGCAGAAGACGAAAGAAATGCCAAAAGGTTACCCACCAGGCGATGGAGCATTAGTCAAAACAGCCATGAAACGAAGAAGAAAGAAAATGGGATGGTTGTCGGCTCTGCCGTTGGAAAGCGTTTCGAATATTAATCGATGATAAACCAGTGACCGCTTCAAGTACTGAGCACAAATAAGTACTTAAAAATTCAATTTTCATGTTTTTTCAGAAAAAAATAAAAAGTTCCGAAAAGCACAAATGATGGCATAAATGGAAATGCTCGGGAAGCAACGGGGGCGAAGTGTTCATATGCGCACTCAGTAAAACAAGGAAGAAGGCTTCGACAGCTGATAGGTATCCAAGAGACATAGGACGGTCTACATCCCGCATTCACTGAGGAAGAAAGTGAGAGCAGACAAGGTAGCAACAACTGGGGCTTCATCACTTCCTATAGATAATGGTCCTAAAAGCTTCCGGTCAAGTACGAGGTCATTCTCATCCGTATTCATTCAAACGTGAAGAGGATGAGAGACTCAACAGGAAGAGCCAGTTTTGCGTTGAAGTAATTAAGATCAAATCTGCGAGGAGCGCCTGCCGCAACGGCTGGTCACACGGGGAAGTACTCGCAAACAACGCTGGCAAAGTGTTAATGGTAAAAAATTTTTCTCAATGTAACTTTTCAAAGAATTGCTTCCATTTTCACTCCCTCGATCACTTCTGACTCTCGCCTTTCGTAGAATTATGATTAGGTGCTTTTTTGTTGCCAGATGCTTTTTCCACTTACACCACCATTTTAGCTTATTTACGGGTAAATTTCTGAACTGGCATCATCTTATGCAAAATGGTAATACTGAGCGTACCAATGAAACCATGTAGTACGGCCTGAATCACTTGCTCAGCGTCCTTCTTTTCACGCACGCGTATCTCCTCATGCCCTGAGTTTTTTTATTATTGAGATTTCGTGCCCTTCTCAAACAACCGGAGTGCTTTTTTTTTCCTTATTTAGATTCCAGTCTACAGAAACGTTTACTACCCATTATAACTTTTAGAAAAAAAAGTGTTAGAAAACATAACTGAAAGCGACGACCAACCAATAACTCCGGTAACAATTGAACCAAGCAATGGGGTACTCAGGATACCGCCATCTCGTCGCACTCGTTTCGGTGTCGCAACTAAATTGAATGATTGCTAAAGAATTGATTTTTATTTATATTTTTTACTTCAGTATCATCGATTTTGATCTGACTGTTGCTTCCTAATTTAATCTGTACCAGAGCTGCAGTAAAGTTCCGATCCTAGGACTGCCTGAAACTCAAAATTAGCAAAAAATTACCGTATAGGATTTCGGAGAAGCTGTTGTCGTTCACATCATTTGCAAGCGCTGCATTCGAGCTTATCTGTCCATTGTTCAATGCAAAGCAAATATTACTCGTTGTGACGAACCAAAGCTCAAAGAACAACTGGGGAAATCCTATGAGCGAGGTAAACATTGAATCTGTTTAAAGTACCTGAAACAGTCAGCATCAAGCGCAGACAGGGGTACCTCACGGCTTAACGAGTTATAAATTTCTAAACAAAAATTTCACAGAAAGTAATACGAAAGAGCCCAAGGAACGCGGGACGTTCCAGAAGCAATGCAGCATTCTAGCTTCATTCTTGAGAAACTGAGCAAAAACACACTCTCCTGACAGATTCTGAATGAAGTGCAAAGTTTAATCACCCAAATAATTACAAAAAAAAAAAATTACAAAACAGTGTGATGCTGTAGCTAGGATCAATTCGGGCACGAGCATCGGCTACCATTACCTACCACCAAAACGATTATTCCTACATCACAACTTTCGCCTATTTGTGAAAGTTTGTAGACGTCAGAAAGAGGCACTTAGAACTACTTTAAGCTCCCAGGAATACACTCCGGGATACAGGCAACACACTGGGCAAAACAAAACCGAAAGCACCTTGCCCCTCGAATATTAACTAAGAATTATTTTTCTAAATATTGGAAAAATATTCTCAGAACAAAAATTTCTGCTGCAAAACAAAATCGTGGCAAGTGAAAAAAACTTTTTAAAGGATCAAAGCGGAATTAAGTTTAGGGTTGATGGATTCCTGAGATGCCTTCCTGCCAGTTTCAAAATCTGGAGAACAATTTGAGATTCTTAGAAGATACGACCAGACGGATGTGGTTCTCCTACACGGATGCATTTTTTGCGGGAACGC